CTGAGTTTGAGATCCTGGCAGTCTTTTTTGTTCTGGCAATCATGTTCTGCATAGACACAGATACAGTCGGACTTTGTATAAAGGGAAAAGATGGGTCCGGAAAAGGGCAGGCGACACTCCTAGTCCTAGATTCAGCCGTCCCCGGTGACCGGCTGATCACTAACCTAGGTCGTGTCGTGTGCTTCCGTGGTGCCATTTCAAAAAAGAATAAAATAAAGAGAAAATTAAGAGTAAGAGAACCGACGGTTACCTGAACGAGTGACGTTGATGGAATTCTGAAAATCCTGTGCAGTCGGCTTGTCAGAGCAGGCGGTAGGCAGAAAGGGTCCAAAAATGTCAGAGCAAGTTCAGGGGTCCGAATGTTCTCTCAAAAAGTTCTCAAGTGTGAATGACTGAAGTCAACACTCCCTTATATAGGCGAAGTGAGAAGGCGAAGGGTCACTTCCAGAATTCATAATTTGGGCGGGAGAATCTCTCGGCCCTTCGCCGAGTGACACCTGTAGCAGGCCGTCGCCTGTTATAGTGCGACACCTGTCACAGGTAACACGTGACCAGTCACGTGCCACCTGTGAGGGGCAAATGATTAGGGGATTTTGCTCCCACCAATCACCATCTGACAAGTGGACCAATCAGGTTCCGCCATGTGTCCGTCACATGGGCCAATAGGAGCCTGCCACGTGTCAAGCAATGATCCGTCCACCTTGGACCAATTACGACACGACACGTGTCCTTCCCATGACACCTGGGATAACCGGTCACCTAGGCCCAACTTCCGAGGGAAGCCCAATCAGCCCAAGGTTAACCTAAACCTAGATTGGCACGTTTCCCGAGGTTATAAATACCTCCCTTAATCCTCATTAAGGGGGATTACATGCTGATCACGCTAAAAAAGCAGATTACATACATTAAACACTCTCACCTAGAGAGACCCAATCACTTTAATTTCCGCATTAATTACTCCTTAATCAGGTACTAACTTGACCGTTGGAGGCGGAGCTCCCACCACCAGGAGTCTCCGTTGTTTTGCAGGTACAGGCGTCCGGTTCCAGTCTCAGAATTGTAACTCTCCCGCAGGACATCAGAAAACCCCGAAACACCTAGCATGTTACTAAACAATCATAAATATTAGGAAGAATATAGGAAGCATCATACTTTTAATCATACTTGATATTAAAGTTACCCTAGACATGATACTAGGAATCAAAATAACAATCTAAGCATGATATCTACATCATGAAATCAATTAAACCATCAAAGTACTTACTTGGATGCCTCGTACCTCTTTCTAATTACAAAATACACACGTTAGTAACTCCAAGGAAAAATAATAATCAAAGCAATTAAACTAAATAATTGAAATAGAGATTTGGGACCAAACCCTCAGAAATTAAAACCTTTCACGTCTAGGGCGAATGCAACTTCGAATATGGCTAGGTGTTTCTAGATCTTGTGAATGCGGAATTTTGTTTGAAAACCAAAGTTTAGAAAAAGAAAGAGAATAATCAAGAAAATCTTGATGAAAGTTGGTGAGTGAAAAAGGGGAGATATGAACTCTATTTATAGGAAAAAAAGAGAGTCTAAGAATTAAGAAAAGAATCCAAATTCGAATCGAAATAAAACTCGTAGACAACAGTTTTTGCGGATTTTGTTTTTATCATATGTTTTGATCCAAGAATCGGAATAAGATGAATAAGATGTCTTTGGAAAGAGCTTGAAGTCTACTTTCTAACCCAATTGGAATCAGATTAAAACATGTTGTAAGATAAAAGATATGAACAAAATAGTGAGACGGTGTCAGTTTTGGATAGAGTTTGATATCTTATTCATATCTTTTCCGTTATAGCTCGGAATTATTATTATAATATATCATTGGAAAGATAATTTCAAGATCTATCCAACCATATAAAATTTGGATAAAAAAATATGAGGCACAAAAATAATATCTGACTGTCTTTGAACATGTTTAAATCCGAATAGAATTAGGACTTTAAAAAAGGAAAGTTTTATAAAAAAAGGAAAGTTTATATTTAAATCAAATTCCTTAATCTTATCTTTTCAAAAAAGGATAATTAAGATATTTTAAAAACTTATAGAAGATTCTAATAAATCCTAATTAGTTTAGGAATAGGATTAAACCTTTGGACCCTCCTCATGATCATTGGGTCGTAGGTAAAATCCGGTTTGGGCCCAGTTTAGTATTTTGGCCATAACTTCCTCGATATTCATCGGAATTGGGCTTATAATATATCGTTGGAAAGGTCTTTTCAAACCCCATCCAACTACACTACTATTGGATTCATATCATAGACCAAAATAAACTGGAATGGACGTTTTCATAAAATAGAGTGGGTTTTCGAAAACAGAAAGAAATTTTTTTAACAAAAACTAACCGCAACACTAGACTTTTCACACTTTCACCTCATTCGATTATGGTTCGACGTGAAAGGTATTCATCACTGGGTTTGGTTTTGGGGAGACACAAATGGGTGTCTACAGAAGCCCCCACTTTGACTGAGTTTGGAGAAACGCAAGTTTCGAAAACAAAAGTCAAAGTATCGATAGGGACGGAGAATGATTCAGAACGTTCTGCGATCCTAAATCAATCTTGTAACGCCGATACCTGCAAACTAGCGTTAGTTAAACAGATAAAAGAGTTAAGAAACGCGTATCTTGCACCGTCGAGCACACGTCTCTGAAAGTAACCGATTTGCTGCTATTTTACTGTTTTGATGACCTCCTACAAGCTAGAGAATGCCATCCCGCTTGAAAACCGCTACGCCTTGTAGCTGCTTCCAAATTAGAAGATTGCTTCGCCTGAAACTATCCTCTCCGCTGTGATAATATTCCACGTCCAAGGGAATATCATCGAAAATTATTTCTCTTGAAATAATTCTCATCCGCATTATGATCATCTTCCATGCCTCAGGAACTATGATCGAAGACAATTTCGCCCTGAAATTACCTTCAGTTTCTCATGACAACTTTCCGCAAGCTAGGGAATGATGTCGAAGACATCTTCTCTTGAAGTCATCCTCATTTGATGCGATAATTTCCCAAAGGAAAATACCGATGATCCACGCCTGTCGATCTTTAAAAGTTCGCCTGAACTTGCCTTTGCTATGCCTGTATGTCGGCGCTCTTTTGCTCTTGAACCTGTATGTCGGTGCTCTTTTCTAATGAGCCAATGCTTAGGCGCTTTAAGCTAAGTGAGACGATCTTTTCATCAGGTCGATCACTTTACATAATCAAGCCGATTACTTAATCATGTCAAATTGCTTAGAGGGGCTAACTGGCGCACCAAGGAACCTAAAATTGTTGTATGAAGTCGAAATCACCTTTCTGGGAGGCTTCGAGATCTGTCGTTGCTGAGATATCTCTGGCGCCAAGAATTGGAGTAGGGTCTTCCCTATTCTGCTGCACCTGTATTTATTTTTGACTATAGAACTTTGCCAATCTTTTTAATTATCTTAGGGTTGACCTAAGACTTAATGTTGCTTGACTCATCGACTTGACACGACTCAAGGTATAAACTTGACTCGTTGATTGAATGAATCGAGGTTGACTCGACTCAAAGTGTTTGACACATGTGTTAGACTCAAATCAAAGTGATATGACATGACTCAATGTGTACATGACTCGTGTGTGCATTGTAATGTGATCGTGCGACTCGAAAAATGCAAAAAAAGCAAAAATTTTCCGTCAATTTTGTGGAGGGTACCGACTTTCTCCCGAAAAAGAAAGACGTGAAAAAGAAAATCAAAAGTGAAGTTTGAAGATTCATGTTGAATGAGCTTAGTCAAATGTTGTTTGATACTATCTCTCAAGGTTCAAGGATTAATTCATCCTAGGCTATCTCAACTGTTGACTCCATGATGAAAGCATTTGGGTAACTTAGGCACGGAGGCTAAGCACTTCATACTTCGTGATGCAATGACAATTATGAGTGATGAGTGATGTAACAAGGCATGCTTCAACGTTAAGATTCCATGACAAAGGGTTCCTAAGGGAAGTATATTTGGTCATGTATGTGTGATGTGTGTGATAGTGACACTAAAGTTAGGCCGCAAGAGCTAAGTGTGTGGAAAAATATATTATTGAAAAGAGTCAAATGGTGGTGACTCTTAGGCTAGGTAAGCTAACGATGTAAGGACCAAGCCCCCAAGTCTAGCTCTAAGTGAAAAGGGATGAGCATTGGAGATTCCTTGATATGATCATGGTGCAAGTGTGTGAATGTGAATACGAATGCATTTTTATTACGGCTGCACCTCGATGGGAGGTTGCCTACGTATCCGTTAGGAATCAGGCCGAACGTAGCTCTAGCCAAACCTCGCACAAGTGTGTATACCTCAAAAAGGTCTTTTTAAGGGTTGTAACGTGGTTAGGCTAAAGGTTTAAAGAAGAAGGGGGTAAAGGCTCAAGACCCTAGATAAGCCCCAAAGGTGTGCAACCTTGCTTTTGAATATTTGTATTTTCATGCTTGAGGTTTTCTACTCTTTTTTTTTTTAGCTCTTTCTTTTGCTTTAGCATTTATTTTATTTTAATAAGTGTGGGCAATCTCGATCATGCGGTCTATCACTCACTTGGCATTCATGTTTCTCAGGCACGGTACCGAGTACTCGATAAGAGACGCAATCTGAGACATGTTCTTATCGAAGATACTTTCATATCAAAGACATTGGAACACTTACCCTTTTGTACACTTGTTTTCGTTTTTTTATTATTGCTTATTTTTTTGCTATTGCTTTCTTTTGAATTTGCTCAAGCTTTCTTTAGAATTACATAAGTTGCACACCATCCCATCCCAAGGTTAGGTAAATGTAGGTTGAAAAAAGAAGGGTCTATCGTTAGACGAGGCTCAAAGTGGTTTATGAAGAAAGGATTGTATAATAAGGGCGAAAGGAGATATGATGTGGCTACAAGGGGTGCCTCAAATCATTGGTATACCTTGTGTGCGCTGATGTTGAACCGGATTACTAGAGAGATAAATCGCACTAACATTGTCACAATAAACCATTGTTGCCTTCGAAATAGGAAATCCAGCAGGATTCAGAAACCACATTTGCAACCCCTCTGTACTCTACTTCGCAAATGGACTTAGACAAAGTGGGTTGGCGTTTCGAAGACCAAGAAATCAGATTATCACCAAGGTACACACAATACCCTGATGTAGAACGACGAGTGTCCGGATACCTGCCCCAATCTGCATCCGTGTATGACACAAGAGAAGAAACAGGAGATTTATGCAATTGTAAACCAAAATTTGTCGTACCTCTAATGTATCGAAGAATGCTTTTCAACGCATCCATGTGCTCAACATGGGGTGAGTGCATAAATAAGCAAACCTGCTGAACTGCATAAGAGTTATCTGGTCGGGTGAATGTCAAGTACTGCAAAGCACCACAGAGGCGCCGATAAGAAGTAGGATCGTCATACAGAGCACCCTCCTGAGTAGGGGTGTACACCGGTCCAAAACCGGACCGGACCTGGACCGGACCTGTTTGGACCGGGGACCTGAATTGGGTAATTATGAGGACCGGGGACCGGACCTGAATTAACAGGTCCGGTTCCGGGCCAGACCTGAAAAATCAGGTCCGGTCCGGGTTTGGACCTGAATGGACCTGTTTTGTGTCTTTTTCGTTTTTTTTTTTAATACAAAACCTGTTGGACCTGCATATGGACCTGCATATGGACCTGTTTTGTGATTTTTAGACCTGTTGCATAATTTAATAATTACATACAAACCAAAATTATCAATTACAAAACTACATAAAGTCTATAAAGTTCCGATTCTCAAACACCAAAAATACAAATGAGTCCACCGAAAATACAAATAAGTCCACGAAAACTCAGTTTCAATTTTTCAGAGTTTGGTTTTCTTTTTTTATTTATTTATTTATTTTTTAATTATGATTTTCCCGGGTTTCAGGTCCGGACCTGAAAACCCCGGGTTTGGACCGGGTCCGGACCGGGACCGGGAACCTGGATTTTTAAGAACCGGGACCAGACCTGAATCAACAGGTCCGGGTCAGTTCCGGTCCGGTTCAGGTCGGTTCAGGTCCGGTTTCAGGTCCGGGCCAATTTTTGTACACCCCTACTCCTGAGTGCTCAACTTTCCTTTGGTGTCAACATAACTACAAGAAAAAGAGGATTGGGCGACGAAATATCTCGTTGCACAAAGACCCAAATTCGTCGCCCAAACCTTTGTGCAACGAAGATGAACTCGTTGTGGGCTCGTTGCACAAGGGTCAACGCCCTTGCTATTTTGTGCAACGAAATATGTTTTCGTTGCCCAAAACAAGTTTTGGGCGTTGAATGGTTTCGTTGCCCTTAATTCATTTTGTGCGACGAGTTAATATTACGTTGTCGCCCAAAACTAGTTTTGGCGTCAAATAATTTGGTTACCCAATTAATTTTGTGCAACAAATATTTAATTTTGTTGCACATAGCATATGATGTTTGAACCTCCTACGTACTTTTGTTTGGGCGTTACTTAATTCATAGAATAGTACGGGGTAGAATAACTAGTTAGTTTCACATTCGTCGCCCTTAATATAGAACATATATATGACCAATATTTAAGCTTATTATATTAAACTTGTCTCGCCATCTTACGAGTACAACAATTCTATATATAATTTAAGGTGTAAATAATTACATAAAATATCACATCAAAAGGATTTGAAAATATTCGACAAGATTAAAATGAACTTGAAAATTAAAATAGTATGAAACGTATTATACAAATCTATCTTACAAAATACCAATTCATAGAGCCTATGAGCACAAATTAAAACCATTGTATGATGAAAGAGATAAGTAAAATCAATGAAAACAGACCATCAAGGAGTAAATTCATTCGCAATGAAATATAATGAAATAGAAAAAGGATTTAATAAATCGGATTAAAGTCCATGGTGGACGTTCTGGTCGTGGGTGAGGAAAGCGATTCATGAACATATATAACTAAGTTGGGAGGGTGGTCGTGGCTGCGAGATTTGGATGTGTCGTCCACCCTGCCATTCCATTGTCATCGACAATAAATTCTCCAATCGATGTAGATGAGGAATTGCAGAGGAGGGAGATGGAAGATAGAACCTGATAAGAATTAAAAACGGTGAGGGATTGGGGAAAATTGAGGGATGTTAATCTTATCAACTTGAGTCAAATTTAACATTTAAATTTTCACAAAGTTTTTTTGAATTTCAAAATTTTAATATGAATTTTTAGAACAAAAAATTGCCGCTTGATTTTTTATTGTTTTGGGCAACGAATATGTTTATTTATTGTCCTTTGTCTCTGGTAAGGGCAACCAATCAAGAACCTTTGTCGCACAAAAAAAATACTTTGGGCAACAAAATAGAGCTTCGTTACCTATAATAGCTTTTGTGCAACGAAACCACTTACTCGTTGCCCTATTTGTTATGTTGGGCAACAATTTTGTATATGTTGCCCAAACTTTGAGATACGGGCGACGAACTTAATTCTCGTTGCCCATTCAACGTTTTGTCGTCGCCCAAACTTTGAGATACGGGCGCCCAAACTTAATTCTCGAAGGCTTGCAATTTGCCATTCCTGCTTTTTCCAAAATTTCCTGCGCATACTTCTTTTGAGATAAAAATAAACCATTTTTACCTCTAGTAACAGCAATACCCAAAAAATAACTCAGAGGACCCAAATCCTTCATTGCAAATTCAGAGCTGAGGCGAGAAATAATATGTCGTCGGAGAGATTCCGATGAAGCAGTAAGCATAACATCATCAACATATAGAAGTAGATAAGCAATATCATTACCATGGCGATAAATGAATAATGAGGTATCAGATTTTCTATTAGCAAAGCCAATAGTAGCCACAAAATCTGCAAAACGTTTGTACCATGCACGGGGTGCCTGTTTCAGACCATATAGTGACTTCTCTAATAAACAGACATGATCAGGTTTATCAGGATCTTTGAATCCCATAGGTTGGTACATGTAAATTGTTTCATTTAAATGACCATGTAAGAAAGCATTTTTCACATCCAATTGATGAATTTGCCAAGACTTAGCCAAAGCAATGCTAAGTACCACCCGAATAGTAGCCGGTTTAACAACCGGGCTAAAAATCTCATCACAATCAATTCCTTCCCTTTAAGTTTTACCATCACCAACAAGACGAGCCTTATGTCTCTCAAAAGACCCATCAGACTTAGTCTTATGCCGAAAAATCCACAATGACCAAATTATGTTCACATTCGGTGGTCGCGGAACCAATTTCCAAGTTCCATTGTCAATAAGAGCATCATATTCTTCCTACATAGCAATTTTCCAATTATGGTCACGAAGAGCATTAACCGGGTTCTTTGGAATGGGTGATATGGAGGTAGTAGTATGATGTGTTTGATCTTGGTATTTAGGATTGGGCTTGATGATTCCATGTTTACTTCGAGTAGTCATGGAGTGTGTTGGTGGAGGAGTGGGATAAGAGAAGGAAGACGAAGAGGGATCAGGTGGAATGTGAAGCACCCTATGCTCGTCCACACCCGCACCAGCGGCCGATGGAAAACCATCGAGTTGGGCAGTGGGCTCGGCAAAGATGGCTCCTCTAGCACCAGCACCCGCTGGTAACCCGGCGGGGGATACAGTTAGTGGCACGGGGCCACGCTACAGGGTGCTGGGGATGAATGGAATTGCTCCTGGAATGGCAGTGTACTCCGCGGCTCACCCGCGACCTGGGCTGTTGTGCCGCAGTCAGGCTGCGGTGTGGACTACCTAGGAGATGAAATGGGCTAAGGCACACGCTGTTGGGGGGACTGATTTGCGTGGGGTTTATGATTAGGATGGTGGTCGATGCTAGCATCATAATTATGTTGAAGCAACGGATGAGAAAGAGGTCCTAAGCTATCACCCAAGAAATCATAAGAATGGGGTTGTGGAGAATGAATTTTAGATGGGAAAACTGATTCATCAAACCAAACATGTCTTGAAATTATAATTTTCCGACTCGATATATCATAACACTTATAACCTCTATGATTACTTGGATATCCAAGAAAAACACAAGGAGTAGAGCGCGGTTGGAGTTTGTTAATTTGAGTAGAAGGGAAAAGAGGATAACATAGACAACCGAATACCCTAAGATGAGAATAGTCGGGGTGTTTTTGATAATTCGAGTTGGAGACTGATAATCAAGAATTTTAGTTGGCAAGATGTTGTGTAGATAGGTAGCCATTTCTAAAGCATGATGCCAAAAAGAGGGAGGCACAGAGGCATGACATAGGAGAGTTCGAATGGTATTATTAGTAGTCTTAATTTTACGTTCGGATTTGCCATTTTGTGGAGAAGAGTATGGACAAGATAAGTGGAAGACCATCCCATGTTGGTGACCAAATTTAATAAAAGGATCATTTTTAAATTTTGGTTCCATTATCACATTAGAAGGCTTTAACCTCCCGTTCAAATTGAGTACGGATATAGGTTCTAAGTCGAAGAAACAAGTTGTAAACTTGAGAATTGGATGCAATTGGAAAAGTCCACAAAAAATTTGTTGTAATCATTAAGAAAGTGAACATAATATTTGTGCCCAAGAGAACTAGATACGGGAGAAGTCCATAAATCACTATGAATAATGTCAAAAGGCATAGTAGTATGAGATTGAGGATCGTAAAAAGGCAATTTTATTAATTTTCTCAAAGGACAAGAGTGACAAACATCAATATGAGCCTTATTACATTTGATCAAATTATTACTACGCAATGAACCTAAAATCGCATTTCCAGGATGACCTACACGGGAATGCCACACACTTGGAGAGACAACTGCAAAAGCAGATGGAGAGGAATAAGAAAGGACTTGACGATACAAGAAGAAAGGGTAAAGATCGCCACTGCTATCATACCTCACTATTTTGCTCCCCGTCTGCAAATCCTTCATAGAAAAACCAAAAGGATCAAACTCAATGGAAACACTATTATCACTAGTGAATTTTTGAACAGAAATAAGATTTTTGATAAGTTTTGGGACATGAAGGACATTTTTGAGTTGAAGTGTGTTTTGATAAAGAGATTCGTGACCATAACCTTGAATTGGAATTTCGCTACCATTACCAACAATAATAGAATTATTACTGTTTTTATGCAATTGAACATACAAAGACAATTTACCTTGGGAATTGGTCATATGTGATGTAGCACCGGTGTCCATGTAGTAGTTCGGATCCGCCATAGACAAGGTATGCATAGTGTAGACACCTAAAAATGTCTCCCAACCAAACCCGATGATGAACAACCTTTCACTGCCATTATTGGTCGGGTGGAGTATTTAATCTTGGAGTGCTTAAATCCAAATTTCCATTTTATAAACCAACCCAAATCCTAGCTCATTTCCCCAAACCATAACTTGTTTTCCTCTTTTCGTGCCTTTAAACCCAAAATAATTCATTTCGTGTCCTTTAAAATCATTCATTTCAAAAAAACGTTTATCCTAGTTTATTTTGGTCCATAATCTTGGTCCAATGATTGAATAGTTGGATGGGGCTTGAAAAGGTTGAAAAGAGATTTCCAACGATATATTATAAGCCCAAATCCGAGTTATAACGAATAAGTTATGGCCAAAATATTAAACTGAGCCCAAACCGAACCTAAGCCCACCTTACCTACGACCCAATGATCATGTGTAGGGTCCAAATGATTTAATCCAATTTCTAAACCAATTAGGATTAATTAGAAACTTCTATAAGTTTCTAGAAGATTCTAGTTATCCTTTTTGAAAAGATAAGATTAAAGAGTTTGAAATTGAATAAAACTTTTCTTTTTGAAAATCCTATTTCTATCCGAATTGAAAGACGTTCAAAGATAGACAGATATTATTTTCGTGCCTCATAGATTTTATCCAAATTTTATATGGTTGGATAGCCCTTGAAATTATCTTTCCAATGATATATTGTAATATCAATTCTGAGCTATAACGGAAAAGATATGAATAAAATGTCAAACTCTATCCAAAACTGGACACCGTCTCACTATTTTGGCCATATCTTTTATTCTATAAAATATTTTAATCTGATTTTAATTGGGTTAAAAAGTAGACTTCAAGATATTTCCAACGATATCTTATTTATCTTATTCCAATTTCTTTATCAAAAGACATAATAAAAACAAAAACCGCAAAAACTGCTGTCTATCGCAAGAGTTTCATCCGATTCGAATTCTTATCTTTTCTTGATTCGACCCCTCTTTTTTCCTTATAAATAGAGGTCATATATCCTCTTTTTAAATAATCAACAAGCTTGATCACAAAATAATTCTTTTATCCCTCTTTATCCTAAGTATTAGCGTCCCCATTCTTTTACTATTCCTTTCTTTAAGCACTCCAAGGAGTCCATACAATACCCAAAGTTCTATACTTAAACCAAGGCGTGAAAGGTATAATTGACTGAGGGTTTGGACCAAATCAAATCAACTCTACTTTAATTTAATTTCAATTTGATTTATATTTTTATTGAAGTTACTAACAATTTATTCATGATGTAGCAATTAAAGGAAACGCGGAAAGTGAGTAATTGATTCACTTAATTACTCTTATTTTTATTCTTGTTGCTAGTATCATGATTAGGTTTATTATTTGATTTGACTAACACTATTATTGTTGAATTTCTTCAAAATATTAATGTTTATTCTATTGTTATTATTGATCACTATATTTCATGTTTAAAGGGAATATGTAATTGAAAATGACGCCTAATAAGATAATTTGGACAACCGGTTTAGGTTCCTTTTTAATCTTGTTGTTTAATCAAGTGATCACAAATATTTTATAATTATATGTTGCATTAATATTCAACCAATTTATCTTAATAATAGTTTGGAGCGAATTGAATATTTTGTTTGTATGCCTTTGAGATCGCTGGAATTACTTTTCACTATAAGAATCGAGTAGAGGCCATTACGGGCGAATGTGACTCCATGACTTACTTCGTACCATCATCCCCGATCCTCCTTTCGTGGTTTTGAACCATATGGAGTTAGTAATCTCATGGATTATGAATGGGGTGTAACCTTCACGGGTCAATCGTTGTTGCCTTCATTGTCCCTTATTCGTGGTTTCCTTAAATGATCCGTGAGCGGTTTACAAGTTCCTTAAAAACTTGTTGGCGGCTCCCTACTTTTCTTGTCCCTAATCATATATGTCAATTCCCACTTCCTAAGAGTGCCAAACATATTCACAACATGCTCTAATGTAGGCGCACTTCGAGTGACGCCTACACATAGCTTGTTCAATATTAGTCAGAACATAACCCGGAGAAGGAGGGGCAGCCATGTAGTATGCTTGTTGTGGTCGAGGTCCGAGAACACCATTCTGGATTCGTGAACTGAGGAGTGCGAGGAGTCCATTGAACTAGACCTTGGCCTTGAGATTGATAAGGACAAGGAGGTGTGGCCCAAGGAGCTTGACCCCAATAGGCCCAAGGGGGAAACATCCATCCTTGAAGTTGCTGGGCCGTGTTTTGTTGTGACAAAGGAGCAGAGGTCCCACGTTGTTGCTGCTGCTGGGATGATTGCTGCGAGTTCTGGCCACCACTGTCAGCACCCTTACCCTTCCTGCCTTTGCCTTTGGTGTTTTTCCGGATACCACGCGCCGGAGAAACACCCCCACGAGTAGAAGACTTCTGTGAGGAACCACCTCCACCGTGAGGTTGCTGTGTAGAAGCCGTTTGCACAACATAGGCTTCTTCACTCAAATTTAGAACATGGTCAGGCATATTGCCCTGCTCTTCAAGTTCCAACATAGAACGGAGAGTGTCAAAGGAAGGCAATGGATTGAGGTGTCGAACGGATGTACGAAAGGGCTTATACTCCTCCAAGAGACCTTTCAACAATTGGAGTGCCATTCGATTATCATAGACCTTATCCCCTACATTCTTCAAGCCATCTGCAAGAGACTTGAGACGAGAGAAGTATGGTGTGACTCTTTCAAACTTCTCC